GTTCTTCAGATACCCTTACCATTTTTCATATTCTACAAACATATTAAATGGATTCTTGTATCAGAATATTGAATTAGCCAGGCTGAATGGAAGATGATACACCTCAATAGATGTAATTTAAAGCAAGCTTTGACTGATTTGCACTACTGGTGTGACAGTGGGCAGGTTCCTCTACATGTCTGAATAAACAGAATTTGAATATTTTAAATGTGATGAGGAAATCCAGTACTAAAACACAGAAGTACAATAAGCAGAAATATCACAAATGAGGGTCTATGATGAAAATATGAATTTTTATTAAGGCACCTTTGACTGGTATAGTCCCACAAACACCCATCAGGGTTTGAAAGACTGAAATCCAAGATTCAAGATTCAAGAGAACTTATTTGCAATTTGTGGTTCATGTGCGGTTGTGCTCAGAGAGTCAAGTCCAAGTATAAAATAAAAAAGACAGAAAAAAAAAAAAAAAAGCAACAAGGAAGAACATACATGCTATCCTATAAAACATATACTTTTAAATTGCACAACCCATTTGCAGGCATAATATATGCAACATAGGCCGAAACAACATAATATAATATAATACGTAGTTATAGTGCAAAGTGGATTGGCACAGGTATATGCACAGAATGATTGCACACGGCGCCGGAGACATTAGTTCCCACAATATATGACATGTGACTGTAGCCGGTATGGTCTGGGGTCTACATTAAGTGGCAGCACAATGAAATGGCCATAAATAGCAATGTCAGCAGTATAGGTGTGGAAAAGTTTTTGTTAATGTAGGTTGCTGCAGCGGCTCTATAGCGGCTTCCAGAGGGCAGTTTTATAAAAAGGGGGCAAGATCAGACAATCTGTTTTAGATATACATCCCAGTTGTTTCTGCTCTTTCACAATAATTTTACAAGCCATGTTTATAATTCTGGACAGACTGAATTTCCCAGGTTCAACACATTCAACAAGAGTGCTGTAAACAGTCTCTAAAACGTTCTTCCTCGTATCGTATGAATCCAATTTCCTGATTAGATACAATCGCTGCACTGTGTTTTGTTTTTATAAAGATTTACTCTGTGTTGGCTGTAAGTGCATTCTGAAAAGGTTCCTAAGTATTTTTAAACTTCTCTACTGCTGCAACAGGCAGATCATTAATCAAAACAGGTGGAAAATAATGGCAGGCATTATGGTGACTCACCTAGGTTCAAATTTTATCATGTCTGTCTTAAAACCATAGTACGGTGCCCATATAAACACTGAAAAAGGTTTTGTTCACTGTAATCATTCCTCCTGTTCATACTGGCCATTAAAAGGCACCTTCTTAACCCCTTTTGCACCCAAAGAACATATTTAGTAAGATGAGGAAAAATGCTGTAACATTTGTTCTGATTGGTCTAAAGTCTTGAAATTATGTGTGGACAAACTTTGGGCAAGTACCTGAAAGTAAAATCATTCCATTTTTGTATCACATGAAGAATCACACTTTAATCAACCGATTTTTTTTAAATTAAGAAAAACGCTCAAATTGTGTTTTTTAAATGTTTTCCATATGAACTTTTTGAACTGCATATTTGTGCATATCTTTGATATTCAACTTCTTATGAGTTTATAGAAATCAAATAGATTGTGCTCCTTGTAGTTTCTGAGATAGAGCCAATTTCTTAAATTTGTGTGTGCAACTTTTATTTATATGGAATATAGAGATAATTATTACTAATTATGTACAACCTGTGTGTTTCGCTCACTATTGTCACAAATAACTTCCTGTGTAGCCTCTGACATCATCAGTTACAAAGTGCTTTACTGGAACCTCAACCCGACTCCAGCACCTTTGGAATGATTGGAAACGCCAACTGAGAGCCAGACCCGATCTCCCAACATCAGTGCTGGACCTCATTGATGTTCTGGTGGCTCAATGCGAGCAAATCAGTACCTGAAATGGGTTGGCAAGTACCTGCATGTTTGATTTTTGTCCACGAGTACCCCTACATCATATTGCCTACCACCACTCCTGGTGAGTCTAGGTGTGCATCCCTAAGCAGCCACATTATGTTTTTCGCTGAAAATGAAATCCTGTTGAATCGGATACAAAAAACGCCCCAAAAATTAGGTTTAGGGTATGGTTAGGGGTAGGGGTAGGGTCTGATTTAGATCTAAAAAATGGCTGGCCACCCCAGTGAGTTGGGTGTTAAATGCTGTCAAATGTATCACATCAATTTAGATTTATTTAAAATTTTGTTAAAAATTTAAATTAACATGTAATTTAAAGATCTGTTATGGACAGATTGTGAGTGTGGGTGTGGGTGTGAATGATAGGCTTAAGTTCAATGAAAAAAGAAAAAAAATGTCTGAAGATTTAGAAATAAAATAATTTATTGGTTTCTAATGCCACCTTTAGATATGTTATATTTCTATCGTGCCACAATAATGTAATGTTTTTTAGTTTAAATATCTTCATTTGGGCGCTTTTACCAGCAAATATTGACATATTATTGATATATATAAGATACTTGCCAACCTCGGCCCACTCCATGAATATTTCTCTAGATCCCTTGTCCCTGGATTGTGCTGAATTATACTGGCGCCTTTTTTGGTCCAGTTCAGGCACTGGAGCAAATCCCTGCAGCCAGGTTCAACATCTGGTGAAAAGCGTGACACCAGAGCAGTGGAGGCTTTTATCGCAGCTCATTAATGACCACTGTTTCGGAATGCCATGCTCAGACATCACATATGGGTTTAATGCCCTGGTGTCCACATGCTTATGTGTATCTAAACATGTGCATATGCATGTACAGTGCATAGAAACATTTGAGATCTTGCTGGAGTTTCCTTTAAAATGTTCCCTTCTTTTGGCAGTCTGAATCCACTTCAACATGCACATTTCCAGGGCCGCTTATGAGTTACAGTATGCAATACAAAGTTCACCCAGTTTGTCTGGATGAAGTCGGATTGGTTCAAACAAAGTGGATCTGGAGAATTGTGTGTAACATTTAGGAGGATCTATTGTCAGAAATGGAATATAATATTTATAGATATGTT